CAACCCTATGGTTTTTGTTCACTCTGTAGACTTGCTATCAACCCTATGGTTTTTGTTCACTCTGTAGACTTGCTATCAACCCTATGGTTTTTGTTCACTCTGTAGACTTGCTATCAACCCTATGGTTTTTGTTCACTCTGTAGACTTGCTATCAACCCTATGGTTTTTGTTCACTCTGTAGACTTGCTATCAACCCTATGGTTTTTGTTCACTCTGTAGACTTGCTATCAACCCTATGGTTTTTGTTCACTCTGTAGACTTGCTATCAACCCTATGGTTTTTGTTCACTCTGTAGACTTGCTATCAACCCTATGGTTTTTGTTCACTCTGTAGACTTGCTATCAACCCTATGGTTTTTGTTCACTCTGTAGACTTGCTATCAACCCTATGGTTTTTGTTCACTCTGTAGACTTGCTATCAACCCTATGGTTTTTGTTCACTCTGTAGACTTGCTATCAACCCTATGGTTTTTGTTCACTCTGTAGACTTGCTATCAACCCTATGGTTTTTGTTCACTCTGTAGACTTGCTATCAACCCTATGGTTTTTGTTCACTCTGTAGACTTGCTATCAACCCTATGGTTTTTGTTCACTCTGTAGACTTGCTATCAACCCTATGGTTTTTGTTCACTCTGTAGACTTGCTATCAACCCTATGGTTTTTGTTCACTCTGTAGACTTGCTATCAACCCTATGGTTTTTGTTCACTCTGTAGACTTGCTATCAACCCTATGGTTTTTGTTCACTCTGTAGACTTGCTATCAACCCTATGGTTTTTGTTCACTCTGTAGACTTGCTATCAACCCTATGGTTTTTGTTCACTCTGTAGACTTGCTATCAACCCTATGGTTTTTGTTCACTCTGTAGACTTGCTATCAACCCTATGGTTTTTGTTCACTCTGTAGACTTGCTATCAACCCTATGGTTTTTGTTCACTCTGTAGACTTGCTATCAACCCTATGGTTTTTGTTCACTCTGTAGACTTGCTATCAACCCTATGGTTTTTGTTCACTCTGTAGACTTGCTATCAACCCTATGGTTTTTGTTCACTCTGTAGACTTGCTATCAACCCTATGGTTTTTGTTCACTCTGTAGACTTGCTATCAACCCTATGGTTTTTGTTCACTCTGTAGACTTGCTATCAACCCTATGGTTTTTGTTCACTCTGTAGACTTGCTATCAACCCTATGGTTTTTGTTCACTCTGTAGACTTGCTATCAACCCTATGGTTTTTGTTCACTCTGTAGACTTGCTATCAACCCTATGGTTTTTGTTCACTCTGTAGACTTGCTATCAACCCTATGGTTTTTGTTCACTCTGTAGACTTGCTATCAACCCTATGGTTTTTGTTCACTCTGTAGACTTGCTATCAACCCTATGGTTTTTGTTCACTCTGTAGACTTGCTATCAACCCTATGGTTTTTGTTCACTCTGTAGACTTGCTATCAACCCCTAAGGTATTTGATTTAGATTTTAGAGTTTAGATTTTAGAGACACCGACCAGTCTTAACCGAATCCAGTTAGTTTTGGAATATTATTATGAATTTACTGCGCCAGTTTTTAATATCAATTTATGTTTTTTTTAAAGATTGTTTTAGTAAGTAATTGGCATTTCAAGTGTCAAGGAAAATAAAGACATTTCTATGTTTTTGTATAGCAAAATCATTTGAATATTCACTTTTCACATTGAAATTTAATTATTAACAGTACCCCCCGGTACAAGTACATGTACATTCCTTTATTGAACCTTTCTGATTAGCGAGTTCATGTTCCCATGGACTCAAGTAACCATTGTGTACATGTCTAGTTGTTTCAACCGCTGCGTAACTAAGATAATGCAGTAATTAATTCAAAAAAGAGGTTTTGTTCCCAAGTATGACCATATGCTCTCAAACGGCCACCTCAGACGCCTTGCACTGACGCAACGAGGCGCACCATAAGTAAAATTATTTTCCGCTTCGGCGCAATGGCATTCTTCCGTGTCAAGGATACTCAACCAGCGTGAGTAAAGGTCATTGAGTTCACTTCAATTAAAGGTAGTATTTTCAGTGGTTTACCGGTATGACATAAAAATATCTTGGCCTCTTCAATTGAACATCCTAGCTAGACACGGGATTCTCTCTAATGGCGGATGGAAATCCTATTATCAGAGAATAATCTTCGTTTGATAGCCGCTTATGTCATATCTAAAATCCCTACCGGCCGCTTATATCACATCAAATCGAGGTGACAAAAGCTCAACCTTACGGCGATTGAATTATATCCACGTAGTGACCATTTGCACTAACCCTGTCGTTTTGGGGCTAGGACGCCAAGTGTTGAAACTTCTGATATTTGTGATATTGAGAGATTTGAATGTGAAGTGGTCGTGGTGAATTTTTGAAATGTCGAGAATCGGTTAACTAGATGATCGAGCAATTTTGAAGTGTTATTTAAATGATGTAACCTGTCATGGGATAAGTTATTTAAAATGTCAAAATTACATGATTAATGGGCCTCCAAATGGAACTGAAACAACTGGAGTCCTAAAGGTCAATTATTTACAAACAGTCTGATGACTGATGCCGTTATGCACAGCTGCATGTTTAGAAATCTGAAATTGTACAAGTATTATCCAAATGTCGGTCATGCAGAATATGAGGTAAATAATAATTAGATCAGATACTTGTTGTGCATGAAACGTAGCTGTGGCATTCGTGGTTTGGCCAATCAAAACCACGAAGGACCGTACATGGGAGATTTAGCGGTCTGTATAGTCAGGGGTCAGCCAAATTACGATGACCTTGTCCATTTGGTTATAGTTTGACATGTTTTGACATTTAGCAATACCAATAATTAAAGAATTCTCAAGGTACTAATAGACATTCTCTATAAGGACAGTGATCACCCTCACGTTGGTTTAGCTGTGTTTTATTTCCCTTTTAACAGCTAAGGACGAGCAAGGTTTTGATGGTGGGGGGGAAACCGGAGTACCAGGAGAAAACCCAGCGGAGATTACCTGGCGACAGTAACACTACTATATACTGAAATATATAGATATCTCAGTTATTAAGGTATTTACGGAAATTTCAGTACAATAGACCATAAGAAGTATGTTGTGTATTGAAGTTTACAATAAATCATGTCCTTTAAGTCTAACACTGGAGCAGAGTGGCCTGTGTCAGGAACCAAGAACAACCAATTTGCTTTAGCACATATCACTTTACATTGCCATTGTATGTTATTCGAGAGTAAAATTACTCACCAATCTCAAGTATCGTCTTTACTGCAAAACCAAAACCCTAGCAGAGAGACAGACTATCAACTATCATGTTTATAATGCACCCGATTAGTACATGTTTGATCTTCCTCGTCTACCCTAGTTTAACTGGTGTTGTAGACTTGATTCTTATACATGTACTTCGTGTCGCCCCTCTTATCACCGCTCCCTTTTTGGCCATATTGAAAAGCGTCCCGGTCCATGTAAGGAAGGCAATGAGTTCTGTCTCTAGTCGGAACAAATCAAATCCTTAAAAATAGTACTTGTTACTTTTTGATAAACTATCAGCATTAAGGGTAATCACAGCAACCTGGTTTACCCGTTGTCAGTATAATGTGACCGGGAGGAATGCTGTGCTAGGTGCCATTTGGTATGGATTTAAATAAGGTAGCACTCGAATGTTGGCATCGGGTCCGCGCTATCCCAGAGAGGCACATACACACAACACACCGCCTACGCCACAAATGCATACATAACATAGACTTTTGATGACCTGAGTAGTTCAAAGATTGCCTATCATATTAGACTTTCTCAAGTCCATGGACAAGAAGTGATTGTACAGACTTTCCCTAATCATAGACACGGCTCTAGTTTGGTATATGCATGGTTAGATGATGTTAAAGTTATTTAATATACATGTATGTTACAATATCAGAAGTGCGTTAGATTACCGGAAGTACGACAAACGTACAAGAAGTACGACAAACGTACAAGAAGTACGTTATATGTACCGGAAGTACATTTCCTTTGCCTTGGTTAACGTTCATCTGGTATATTTGTAGAAGTAGCTTGAATTATTCTATCTTATTAACAAGTTAATTCATGTATGATTTAGGTGAAATGTTTTAAGAAGTAAGGTTACAATTGAGATTTTAATTAAGATCAAACCAATATATCAAATTTGACATATCCCTTTTCACTAGGAAACAAAACCTTGAAACGTAGTGAACTGGGATTTAATTATAACTTCCGTCCGTGGCCAGTGCTCACTTGTTGTCAACAGTTACCGTTTGTTACGCTGTTATTTCAGGAATTTTCATGCGGATTCCTCAGACCGTTGTGTAATTGTTTCTAGCGTTTTAAAGATCCTTGCCCCTTTTATTCCTGCAAGATAAAGCCTTTTTAACACAATGTAACCCTATCCTTGGCTAACACTTGAAATTAACTATTGAAGCAAAAACTTTTCTCATAGTGCAAATATTTCCCCCGGGGCTAGAGTGACAGAATCTCCCATAGAAGGGAGCACAGATACCCAAGGATACGAAACGATATCTTTAAAAAACAAGAATCAAAACAATAGGGAAATTTCGGGGAGTTGGAAGAGCGAGAATCTTGTTACGTTAGAAGTCATAAATCAAAGTTACGCCGTAGTGTTATAACTCCTTCAGGTTATTTCCTCATGCGAACGTAGGCTATTTTTTTGTTACATTTCTATTCTATCTGACAGTCACATATGCTACAGTATCGCTGGTAACATGTATTATCTTAAATGAATGAATTGAAAGGATTTTAAACCATGTAACGTTTTTCTACAAAGTTATCAGATATCCGTTTTCTGATGATTGTGAAAGGCAGAGCGTCACACTTAAATAATTTGCACAATTTACCTGTTTGTGTTTGCTCAGGTGAGAAATCTAGTTGACGGGCTCGCCTTTTTTATCAAGACGATTCCCAAGGGAGACAATTAAGGAGATAAGTCTCGGATTTCGTGTCCCCTCAAGGATGCGACCCGCTAGGACAATGTGTTTGACAGGGTTTTAATTTGCCAAAGATAGGGGCATTAGACACAGTTCCCACGGTGACAACTTTAAAAGTAGGGCGCTCGCCAGGTAGGTAGTTCTCATCTACCTATACATGTAGACAAGTAAAAAAATACGTGTGAATGTATCATATTGTAGGTATTTTATGTCCAGGCTTTATTACATGTTTACATACTGTAGAAAGATATGCTAATGTTCCTAAAGATGCACATCTAATCTTGTAATCCTGGCTGAAAATCAGCTGTGATTTTTATCGCCGAAATCTAGGACATTTCAAACGTATATTTAGAGGATATTAATCGCCGAGGTCGACAAGAAATACGGTGCGATTATAAACATGTTTGAAAATGTATGAATAAGTATCTTCGAAAGGTTTATCAAGCAAATATAAAACAGTAATGAGGTAGTGAAAATAATTAATTGGGCGTCAAAATGGGAAATCTTCACAAGACAACGGTGGTCTGATCAATTACCACATACTAAGTCGTAATTACGACATAAAAAACATGTGACACTAACCGGCTTCCGTACTAAGCACAACATCCATTTTTTGCAGTAATAAATTTAACTGACTTAAGGTCGTATTCTGGAGTTATTTGGTATAACATCATAAAATACGTTAAGTATAGGAGTTAAAGGCATAGAATTTATCTAAGCTGAAACGAGAAAAGCCGCAGTAACAATCGCGATTCCCTGAACTCTTTGTGCAGTATGTCAATATTGCGTCATGTTGAATGTTCATTTGCCCGAACGAACAGATGCCGTTTATAGGGTTATATCCTATAGAATCTTGCAAAGAATCACAGGCACATGTCACATATAAATCACAGTGCATGTATAAACGTGTAATACACTGTGACGCATATTAATATAGATCATAAGTTTTATAGCATGTGGCATGTCCCTGTGCAAGGTATGCACTTCATTATCTATACGAAGTTTCTTGACCGTTCCAACTGTCGGCTTCCATATATATAATACTTTTGAATTTTATACAGTTACATTTTAAGTCAACACCGCTTTCTTGAATGTGTTTATTAATTAATTTTGATAAACATTTTCAAGTAGTCAATTTCAAAAGATCAAAATAAATTGCTTAATAACCAGTAAGTTCTAAGCCTTACTAAAGAGTCAAGCCGCCATTGAGAAAGGATTTGTATTTACAGACTAACAACGAAACCCGGAAAGGAATCGCTTCTTGTGTTGACATTCCCAAGAAAACTGTGAGCGTTCTCACGTCTCTACCTGTTTGTGGTCAAGTTCGTCCCTTTGACCGGTCCGTGACATGGTCAAACATTAAAGACACGCCGTGTTCTAACACGTAGACTCGACAGAGTCGTGAAGGTAACAATGAAAGTCTACCATCTTAACATCCCAGACAGGTGAGCTTGTCCTTTTCATTTACATCAAAGCGTTTAATGTAAATTTGAACTGTTAATAGTCGTATATACTGACTGTTCATCAGCTTTACTAGTTCATCTGTCTTTCAGTCAACATGCACATGGTCACCTTTGATCAGCTTTCACGACCCTTTTCGGACACTTATCAATGTTTCTGATTAAGGAAAAAATTGGATGAGAATTTAACGAGCCGTTTAAGTGTTATTTAATGGGGGACAATTTATCCTTGTTGCAGAGTCGTTGATTCGATAAACACCTGGGCGAACCGACAACGCGGCTGAAGACTGGAGCAGAAGCGAAGATCAACAAATGACGTTCGTTTCTTGATATAGATCTTTGAAGTAACACGAGAGTCGATTTTATTGCCAAGTATTACACTTATATGGTAATTTAACGTGCATTATTTGTTGATTGACAATAAATTGGCGTACTTCTGGTGTAGCTCCCGTTTGTAAGGAGATGAGATAAAATAAGAATGGGAATGAATTGGTACTAGAAGAGGGAAAGCTGTAACTCATTTCTGTTACATAGGTATAATTCGGTTAGGAGGGTTCTGCTGATGACATTTCCCATGTTTCGTTTCGCGCCATTTAGCAAAACGTCACGCATGACGTCAGACGTACATACATCAACAGACATAGGACGATACCATTTTGGCATCCTTACACAGAGGGATCCGATTCTTACATACCGAATCATGTATACAACAGTCAGTGAAACACGAAAAGTACGTGCTCTGACACTTGCAGTCAGGCGAAAAATTCAAAAACATTCAACACTCAAGTCCGCGTGCTAATTTTCTGACTCTTAGTGCTAGGTTTTTGCTTTAATTGTTTTATCAGACCGTTTCGCTCCTATCTTAGGTATCTATCGTCCAATCGGGCCTGCTTTGACTCAAGACATCCTAGCCCCAACAAGCGCACGTGTTGGACGAGATCCCGCGCAGACTCTTCTGATGTTACGATAAGCATTCTTGCATTACGCGCTCTTCTTATCGCGGAGGTAAGAAAACTCGACATTCCGCCATATTCGTTATCTATTTCACTTTTTATATCAGTGGGTTAACATCAGTGCTATGATAAACCCGTTACCCCCACGGGTAAGAAAACAAGTGCTTTTTACAGTCCGTGTCGTGGGGTTTTATCTAAAGATATCACAGATGAAAAATCTGGCAGCTGATGATGTCGGTATCAAGAAATAATAACTTTTTACCAGCTGTTAAATATCATATGCATGTGAATATGTCCCCTTTTTCGTGCACTTGAAAGGGGATATAACATTTCAAACGTTGTGATATTACACAAAATTCGTTTCAAATAGTTTAATGTTGGCTATTAAACAATCGTTTGCAGTTTCAAATTCCTCAAAAAGCGTTTTTGGAGAAAGATATCTAACTGCTCATAACCGTTGATGGTTCGATCCTTGTACTTTGTTCCATTTCAGGACGCTGGGTGTAGGTTTTATTTCGTATTTAAAAGATAAATATAAATAAATAAAAATATACATCCTTTCATCTCTTGGTGTTTTTTTCAAGCGTCACTCTGAAAGTTTTCATCACTTTTACTGTATACCGAATAAAATGGGGAAAATGTCCTGCTCACAGAATTTAAAAATTGTGGTACAGTCGAATCGAAAAGACTCGAAATAATATTTTAATTAGTCCCTGACCTCACATCATACACGGTGTAAGTACGTATATGAGCAATATGTATGATTAATGTATACTGTGAGATATGGCATTCTGGCTTGTTTCGCAGTTTTTATCGTGTCTTTGGAGTATTTATCACTGTGCCATGGAAGTGCTTGGTAAACAGACGCGTGGCGTTAGTCGGTGACAATGGCAATTTTTATTCTGGCAAACCAATTCAGTGTAGAGATATGTACATACAAACAGGGTGGGCATTAGTGTTGCGAATTAATTATCTGGTTAACATAAACATTTTATTTTACCAATTATATCGATGCATGGTTTGTTAAAATAATGAACAAAGTAATCAACTTAAATGCATTTGGTGTTTCAAAATAATACCTAGAGTTCTGTTTTTTTTATCTACTGGTAAATATAAATTGTTACATACAGTTACATAGATAATGGAATTTGTCGCCAATTTCACCTAAATAAAACAGAATATCGTCTAGTGATAAATTGGACCACATTTCACATTCAATTGACAGCATTTTGATGTTCTGAATTACAATATGCCCTACAGCTAGAGAGGTCAAGTAAGATGTTTCCTAAAGATAATTTTAGAGATACAAGTTCCACAGGCTCAAGTCATAACTGAAGAACTATAAAATAGGGATTTGTACAGTTAAATGTATTGTTGAACTGGTGTGTCGTCCTCCTGCCGAGCATGTGCAGACAAGTAAGTCTTCGTGAAGAGGATTTAAAGCGCCCCCTTTCTAATGTAAACTCTTCAGAGATTTTGTCTGTTTTGATCACGACCCTTGAGAGTCATCAGCTGGGTTAAGTGCCGAGATGAAGAATTGACCACGTGTGTATTTGTGTACCGGCGAGCACTTGACATCTTATCTTAACCAAACACCAGATGGCGCGCGTCGCGCATGCGCACCGAAATACCTTCATAAAGTTACTTATCAAGGAATGGAACAGTTTCAATAACTTTTGGAAGAAAACTTTTCGCAAATTCGAAAACGAGGATCACTTTTCTTCTACTGATCTTTTTAACCAGTTTGTTAGAAGAACCTGATTAATACACTTAAACATGACAATTCTTGGTATGCTATTGACTGTAAACATGATTTTTTTGTATCTCTGTATACTATTGTAAATACACGGTGTTGAGATGAAAACAAGTTTGAAAGCCAATGATTTTAAGATTTTAGTTGGTGTTTTTTTTACCGCTATTGAAGTCACACCAAAATGTAAAACAAGAAGTGACAGCAGACCTGTGTAAAGTTAATCGTTATAATTGTGAACTAGCGTAGTGAACTAATACCACCACAATACAAAACACATTTACATATATGAGATGACACACATTTTCCTACATTCTCATTAGCTGGAGTATAATCACGTGGTTAGTGATATTGTGATATTGACTAGGCTTTACTATTTTGAAAAAAAAATCAGGTTTATATTCACTCTATGATGTCATTTCAATTATGACATCACATTGCTTTCTGACAAATGCAATGACTATCTTTCGTACAATTTTCATGCGTTCCATCCTTTTGAATGATTAAAACATTATTTAGCATCTAATGTAACAATAAGATGCTTTTATTTCAGTGAAAATGTGGTTACATGAACTTCGTCTCGGTCAATATCACTTTCTCGGGGCATCAAACCCACAAATTCACCTCAGCAAAAGTCCTGTATTGATAAATATAAATAAATCGCTCAACACTAATAAACCGAGCTTGCAAAAGTACACACAATTGTACAGAACACAATACATCTCCAGCACACACGCAGGCATACACACATAGGGAGATATTAGCCAGGTGGCATAGGACTAGTAGTTAGCGCTGGATAAGGAAGCTCCTGCGAATTCCTCAACTTGTGTTGATTACTGTATATGCTAATGGTATTGATTGTAAAAAAATGAATATCTTTGTACTGTACAGTAAAGCGCTTTAGAGCGGCTTAGGTGAGCTAGCTAGGGCGCTATATCAAATGCTGTATACATATATTATTACAGATGTAACAAATGGAAAAAAAATGTTCATGTCTTTATTTTTCTTCAAACTACTTAGTAATACAGAAAAGCAGTTACAGTGAATTAAAACCAATTGATAAATAACCTAGAATGAAAGGCTGAACAATTGAAGAACCAATGCAATACTATATTCTATTGTATTAATAAAACTGTAGTAGGCCTAATGCATATGATTTTCTCTCGCTTTGGAAAATTATCTCTTGTGGGAACGCGTCAGAAAAATAACCCAGAATATACGGTTACGAAACATAGCCTAAGAAAACACGCCATTGTATACATATATCGTAAAATTAGGTATTCTAAAAAGTTGAAACGCATGCTAAAATAACGACGTAATGTTTTCCAAGCTATTTCTCTCGGTACCTGCCATCTGTCGACAGCGCTATCTCCGGTCTTATCTATACATCGCTAAGGGACTTTGGAGGAACGTTTCCCATGCTTCAAAAAGTTATCTAAATAGTTTTATATGTGTGGAGATAACAGACTGCTTGATTTTAGAAGCTGGTCCGTCCACGTGCTAGTCAGAATCTCAGACATAATCTGTTTTTATTGAAAAATAAAGCGCCCATGAAATTGACAAGCCCAGCTGTCTTAGATACAAGGGTCACACTAATTGCGGATTATAGTTTTTGGCGTCGTCTCCGAGCGGAGACAAAGATGGTGGCGATAAGAATAACGCCGAATATGATAAGGGAAATTTCGTTTACTTGATCTATGTTATCAAAAAATGAATAAATAAAAAAAGTAAATGTTTCGTAATAATGTTAATCTTTGTCCCAGATCAAACTGCAGTAGGGTCTAATCAATGTTTGATGGTAACGTTAGATAGCTCGTCTCAAGTTTGACGCCCGTCACACAACTCAACCTTCCATTTCCTCTTCAACAAATTCAAATGGTAACAGCTTGGTAACAAGTTAATTTACTTTTAACTTTCAGTTATATAACTCAATATTTTGTTGCACTTTTTACAATGACCCGAGTAAGTTGATAGCAAATAACAGAGAGTAGACAAGGACAATAAATTAAAAATATTCAAAACCAATTAAAAAATTCTATAGAGTGAGCATGTCTAATACTCTTCTCAAAATTAACGACTTTTGCGCGGAATCGCATAGTTTCTTAGATCCCCATAGTTAAGCATAACGGTAGATTAGGGTTCATTTTTTTTCTAATAGATTAGCATTTCATTTTTAGACAAATTCTTTTAACAAAGTATGAGATTCCTATACTTTTCATGGGTCTTGTTGCAAGCTTAACCTCTGTTTACATAATCCATATTTTTTATATTTAAGTTTATACCAATGAGATAATTAGTGGTTTAAAGTATCGTTTCAGACTCATGTAAAAAGGAATTTTACTGTCAGTAAGCCTTACATACGCTACGTTATCAAAATTGGTAGCACCATAAAGTTGGAATCAGATCCGCGCTATCTCAAGGAGGCAAATACACCAACATACCCTGCCTCCAGCACACGTACACACATACACGCATACATTTCACTTAGCAGATCTTAAAAGAAGCAGTTAATAGATCGTTGAAATAAATTAAACCAAAACCAAATCAAAATGAGTTTTTACAGTTTAGAAGATATTAACTTTTCGATTTTTAGCAATACGCAAATATGTTACTAAACTTGAATTTTGTGTTTCGAATTTTGGAAATAAGTAAGCTACCAAACCCTTTACATAGACTACAAAGCTTTCATAACAATGTGTACTTTTATAATGCTATCATACTATTTACACATTTGTACTTTTATGGTTGAACGGTTTGCTACTTTGTATAGATAAAAAAGGACCATACCTTCAACATTGTATAACATTATATGTATTTCTCATCACAGTACAACATGTGCACTTTTAAATAAATTGACTGTTAGATACGAAACATTGTATTATTTTCATTTAAGTGCAAAATGCATTCGTGAGCACTTTTAATGTTTGATTCACAGAACAATTGATTAATATGAAAATCAATCTCTGCTATTTTCAGAAAGTTTATGTGATGTCGACTGAAAACAGAGGTCTCTGAATAAAAATGAGCTATAAATTATTGAAATAAAACTGACAATTCAGTGCTCAAATTGTGACGTAGCTATGTATGTGCGTTACTTTCTAGTGATGGGATTTTGCCCCGGTGAATCACACAAACAATATGGCGGGTACGTAGGGTGGTAATTCTCTAGTCGTCTGCTCTCCCTACATTGACACATACTACACCCGGGGAGGGCGTGTCCCTGTCGTGACCCTCGACCCCTCAACATCCCGAGACATTCTTTAGTGTGATTATATAAATACCGAGGGACCTTCTTCAACAGTCGTGTCACTCTAATGGCGGGAAGATGTAATCGGAAAAACTCCTGCTAGGGACTCCCTCCCCTTTATCGTGACCCCCTCCCCTTTATCGTGACCCGCCTCTAAAATAGACACGAATTGAAATTAATCAATGTCTCTTATTCCTAGTTTCCCTTTAATTAACACTGTTTCAAACGTTCACCTAAGCATCCCGAACAAATGGGTCTATGCTATATCTACTCGCTCGTCTCCAATCGGGTGGAATGGCTACCCCCTCCCGGCTCTACGGCTGTTGAGCACATTCGGGAAGAGGGGAGGGGGATAGTTAAAACTCGTAGAGGAGTATCAACAGGTATATGTTCATTAGAGGCTAAAATGTGGCGATTGTATCGTTTCAATAATCACACTGGACCACCTGAAAAGTGACAAGCTGGTTTTAAAAAGAACTCTCGGGTATTTGAAAAT